GGTAAGGCCTTCAGTCAACACTAGGCAATTAGTAGTTAAGTTTTGGGGGAGTCAAAATTTACATGTGGATTTTCTGCCAAGGGGGTTGGTGACCCTAACCCCTGCATTGTTCAAGGGTCAACTGTACTATCAAATTTTAAAGTTGGGGGGGGAGGTGGAGCTCTAAATGGATAGATCTCCAAAAGATAGTGTTAAATGAAAATAGTAAGGTGATGGAACATGTGGTATGCTACCTTTAGACTTCAATATAGATATATATTCTCTTAGGATGTGTATCTCTTTCTAATATATGTATATCTCTTTCTATATATATAATATATATTCATATATTCTATTCTAGAATATATATATTCATATACAGAGAGAAAGAAAGGGAAAGAGAGAGATACATGTATACATTCTAAAATAGATACTATATATATAGGAAGAGAATTATTTTAAAGAATTAGGTCATGTGATTGTGAAGGCTTGGTGAGTCCTAAATCTGATGGGGGAAACTAGCAAGCAGGAGGCTCTGGAAAGAGTTGCAGTTCAAGTCCAAAGACAGTCTTCTAATGAACCAGGAAGAGCTGATACTTTAGATGAAGTCTTAGGCCATCTGCTGTCAGAATTCCCTTGTGCTTGGGGGAAGCCAGTCTTTTGTTCTATTCAGACCTTCAACTGATTGGATGAGGCCAACCCACACTACGGAGGGCAATCTGCTTTACCTAAAGTCCACTGATTTGAACGTAAAACCCACCCAAAAACACCCTTACAGAAACATCCAGAATAATATTTGACCAAATTCTGGGCAGTGTGGTCCAACAGAGTTGACACATAAAATTAAGCATCACAACTCTGCCCCTTGTCAACTTAACACCCATATCTCTTTAAATCATACTTCATCTCCATACTGAAATCTCTTTACCTGGTGAGGTGACCCAAACTTTCATTCATGAAAGGTCTGGGCCATTAGTAGTCCTGCCTAGATTGGGTTGTTGTTTTCCATTGACTTTAATCACAGGGCATGGTAATACTAAAATACCCTAAGAGGTCTGTCCCTACACTGGACAGATTGTTTGACAGACCTTGACTGAGCACCTCTTTTCCAGGCACTGTTCTAAGCATTGGGATATAGTTGTGAACAACACAGGCAAAATGTCTGCCTTCAGGGAGCTTATTTAAAAGGAAACAGAGACATAACAAACAAGATTATTACTATTGGTAACAAATGCTATAAAGGAAATAAATCAGGTGATGTGATAGACAGTAATGGAAGTGTACTTCCATGGCATGATCAGAGGTCTCACTGATTATGTGACATTTGAGCTGGAACATAAAATAGGAAAGTGAGCCAGCTCATGAGAAGGGCTGGGGGAAGGGCATTCCAGGGACAGGGAATGCCAATCACAAAAACCTGAGGCAGGAACTGAAAAAAGGCAAGAGTAGAGGATGGGAAACAAGGAGCAGGGTGGTGTGATGAGCCTGGGGTGCATAGGAACCAGATCAAACATGGTAAGACCTTTCAATTCCATTCTAAAAGCAAAGGGTTTTAAGTTGGCATGCTGCAGGATCTAATCAACCCTTTCAAGACTATTTTGGAGAACAGATTGGAGGGGGTAATCAGGGGCCAAATTAAGCCAAGAAGCCTTTGTAGTAATGCAGGGTGAGAGACGATGGTGATTCAGACAAGTGAATTTGTGATGTTTTCAAGATACATTCTGAAGACAGATTCAAGACCTGGCAATGGATTGCACTAGAAGGTGAGGTGCTCAGATGACGCTCAGGTTTTTGTTGACTGGGTGAATGGTAGTGCCATTTCCTGAGATAGAGAAGAAGGAATAAGGAAGATATTTGGGGTGGGGAGAGGAAATAAAGAATTCCATTTGGATATATTAAGCTTGGGATAGCTAATAGATACTGAAGTAGCAGTATTTATTAGGTTATTGGGTATATAATTCAAGGCTGAGGAAATAGGCCTGGGCAGGAGTATAAATTTGGGAGTCATCAGCATATAGATATGCCAGTTATTGGGCACCTGGGTGACTCAGTTGGTTAAGTGTCTGCCTTCAGCTCAGGTCATGGTCCCAGGGTCCTGGGATCAAGCCCCACTTCGGGCTCCCTACTCAGTGAGGAGCCTGCTTCTCCCTCTGCCTCTCCTCCTCCCCCCGCTTGCTCTCTCTCTCTCTCAAATAAATAAAATCTTTTTAAAAAAATGCCAGTTACTGATTGCCTCTTAGCTCCATATTCATCCTTTATTGCTTCTACAAAAATTGGGTTGGGACCTTTGAATATTTTTTCCTTTGTCAATTAACACGATATTAAACTTTGCTAGTAGAGGATATTGGTGAGACGCTGCCAAGAGGAAAGGTGTTTCCTTTCTGGTTCTGGTGTGACTGCTCTCAGCACAGCTTCTCCAGCACCCAGCTCCTGCAGTACATGGTAGTCAGCGCACAAAGAGGCCAGAGCTTTCCCCAGCACTCACCTTGGGTGGTTTTGTAGTGGACTGCCTCTGAAAAAACACCTCCCTGAGCAGATTTTCCCAGCAGATTTCCAGCAAGTTCCACCAAGCATAGCGCCCCAGTGACTTCTCTGCCAGTCAGTGAACCATGGCTATGCCCTCTCCAAAAAGGTCTGCTATCAGCTCTGGGGAAGGGGTTGTTCTTCCTTGGATCCTCTATCTCAGTCCTGAGTGGCTGCTTCCTCTATGTGGTATTCCTATATTCTTTAGAGTTATCACTACTATTTATTAGCCAATCCCTCATTATTCTAATCCAGTTATAATTAATTTATATTAAAGATATAAATTGTTCAGATTACTGCGTGGTTTTTTTTCTTTTTTCTTTTTTAAAGATTTTTTTAAATTTATTTATTTGAGACAGAGAGAATGAGAGAGAGAGCACATGAGAGGGGGGAGGGTCAGAGGGAGAAGCAGACTCCCTGCCGAGCAGGGAGCCCGATGCGGGACTCGATCCAGGGACTAAAGGATCATGACTTGAGCCGAAGGCAGTCGCTTAACCAACTGAGCCACCCAGGCGCCCTTTTTTTTTCCTCTTGACTAATACAAATGACTCAGTGCAATTCAGGCAAGATCACTGAAGAAGGAGGCAGTACAGACTGATGTGTTGACTGGAAGGTTCCAAGTTTCTATGTTATTTTCCATTTTGAATGGGTGAGATGTAAAGGCACGTGGGATAGCAGTAGGGTGGAGCGGAAGCACCAGAGTTCGATCTCCTCTCCTGCCACCCCAGTCGGCCGTTACCAGAGGATACAGTCCCTTTCTGTGTCCACTTTGGCAGGCTCCGGATTTTGGCTGGCCTCTGCTACATGTGGGTACCTACCTACAGCTTGCAATGGCTTCTCAGTTAGCTACAACCATAGCTGGAATTCCTCTGCTGGCCTTTTTCTCGGGGTTTTGTGTATGTTCGGAGTATCTTCTGAAGCCAAAATGTTGGGAAAACATGGCCTGCCTTCACCATGCGGAGCAAGCTCCCAGTTTCACCTTGAGTACTCCGGGCTCCTGCAGACAGACATCCCTGAAGGGCTTCTTTCAAACGCTGCCTCTACACCTCCAATCTGTTGGTTATATTGCAACTCTCACGCCGACAAGAGTTGTTGGCCTGCCCATACCAGCGTCATGGACATGTAACAACAAGGGACAGAGGCTGCCCATGCTGGTGCCTCCTTGCTATCCCTACTGAGGCACTGACGTGTGTCTTGGTTGTGTAAGGCCAGGATAGGAGAAAAGATGTACAGGGTTTTCAGCTGTTGGAATTCTGGGGCCTTAGTAAGGGATCAGGTGAAACCCCTTCCTAAAAAGACAGGATGATCACGTGAGGAAGTTGAGGAGCACGAATGAATGGCCACTGCCTATAAATCCCCAAAACTGTGGGGTAGTTGAGTATCTGGAAAGCCTTCCACATGAGAAACATCACTTTCTTATACATTATCACGAGGATACCTTGGTTGGACTATCTGGAAATCCTACCCCTGGATCTCAATCCACAATTCCAGGTTGTCCCAGGGGTGCTGCGGCCATATAGGAGTCAGGATGCCATCCCAGCAGAGAACAGCACTGACGGGGTTCAAAATCAGGCAATAAACCCTATGTCTGTGGAATCCTCTGGGCTAAAGGCCCAGGCAATGTAAGTGGTAGAATATTCCTGCAGGTGACTACAGAGGGAATTCCTCAGTGTTCTGCCTCCCTGAACCAATGGGAATTTCCAAATAGAGCTGTATTTGGAAGTATAAAATTAGGCAATTGGGTTGAACATTCCCTGAATATGTCTGGAGGCAGATACATTCTGCCTTGACCTTCCGGGAGTGCCAAGTGAATAATGCCATCCTCATTTCGGCCAATAGTGATGTGGACAGCTGACCAGGGAAGTCCCTATTTTTGTTAGGAAGCTCTTGGTGAATGTAGTTTCTGGGAAAAGTATGTTGATTATCCCTTCCAAGGGTAGAGGAGGGTGAAGCTAATTTATCTGTTCAGTGGGGTCTTGCAAGTATCCTCTGCTGCCCTTGTGGAAGTAGACACAGAGCTTAGAGAGAAAGGCTGAAAATGCTCTCCAAATCCTAGCAGGCCAGTTGAGAAAGCTGAATCAGAAAGTCCGGGACCTCAGTGCAAAGAGCACCTAACTGCCTGAGAATAAGTTGGGGGCAGTGCTGGACAAAGCATCACTGCCAGGGCTGGCAACCAAATACTGGATGAGGTATGGCCAGAAGTGGCCAACCAGCTTTAAAATGCCAAAGACAGGGCAGTCATGAGTGGCGGGGGCCAGGGGGTGGTGGAGATGACCGGTGAGAGTAGGGACAGTAGGCACCCACGATGTGTGCATACAGAGATGGGTCCCTGGGACAGTGTAAGCTGAGGTAGAGCTGAAGGTAAGGATGTAATGTTGGAAAGCACACTAACAAACACACTAATAAAGGCATTTATAGAAGTTGATCCACATTCTAGGGACTTAAACCTAGTCATGATACCATCCCAATCCCTTTACAAAAATAACAAAGGTATAAAGATTTCAACTCAACTCTTAACTTATCAATTTCTTTTAATGGAGATCAAGCTCTAAGCTTTGTGGTGCTTTGGGGTTCTATTTCTTAATTTTTTTGTAATAAAGGAGAAGTATGTATACATCTATTCCAAAGATCTACTGGAGCTAGGCCATCTGCCAAGATCACATGATATAGGAAAAAACCCAGGGTCTGTAATACATTAGGAGAATCTTCTAAAAGTCATGGTTTGTGGAAGGGTGATTCAGGTTGCCACTGAGATCACAGAAGGATGGAAAAGGTGCATCACAATCTGATTATGGGTCCCTTTTATGAAGTACTTCTGGATGGTTCAAGATGGTTCAATTCAAAGTCTTTCCTGCAGTTGAGTTGGATTTTTTTCCTGGTGCACAATGGTTCTGTTTCCACTTAGTTCCGGGTGGTTGGAGGTGGTGGAATCCCAGGATATTTAGATCATTTCATTGCTCAGGAAAAACAAGTGTGTGAAGGAAGAAGTCCTTAGCTGTCGGGAATGGGACTGCCCTCTTCCTAAGTCTGAACTTACTGTTCTTGTGTGTATATGGGGGGAGGCAGGCATTCTGGAGGGAGAGGTAAAAGCTTGGCCATCGGATCTAGTGGATAACCCGGATCTATGACTTTTGTAATAACACTGTCAGTTTCTCCTTGTATTTAGACTTTAGAAGAAGATATTCATCTAAGGGAAAAATGAGATACCTAATGTTCACAGCTAATAAGATCATTGTAGAAATGAATGGGGAAAAAAAAGCACATAATTACCCTCGCTCAGAACAAAAACTATCTTCATTAGCATCCTATTCATATAGGTGCTTTATTTTAAAGTTACATTAGAAATAAAGTTTAAAATTACGTTTAAATTATACAGAACTCTAAAATACATGACAGGAAAAACAAAATGGTAAGGAACCAAAAGACAGAAAGTTAAAGGTGAAGTAAACAAAAGCTAAAGGAACATGTTCTAAGTTAAACAAATCAAAATGACATAAGTAAAGCTAGCTAAGAGGTCATCTCCAAAATGATGACAAAGGAACAAACAGGCAGGGTTGAGACCCAGAGTCTAAGGGCCATAAGCCCCAAGCCAGGCACACAAGATCCCCTAAGCTAAACTAAAAAGCCTTACATTCAGTTATTCTCTTGAGGCCAGGAGTCCCTGAAGGAGGGCCGAGGCCTCGGGCATCCTTCCCCACACGGTCAGGCTGCACAGCACATCTGTGTGGTTAGGCCTGTAGGCTGCAAGAGTCTGATGAACTCAGGCCGTCCCAGATCATCTCGCCACACCTAGGGTCCAGCCAGGGAACCATTGCTCACCTCCATCACTGCCCATGAGTGGGACCCTTCACCTAGCGAACATGTGTCCCTCACTAAGAAGGGCAGTACATTGGGGACCCCAGCTAGCTCCTTAATGCTCAGGGACATAAAAGAAAGTCTAATATTCCTTCTAGAGCATTTGCCTTTCAAATTTTCACAGGTTGAAGCCCTAAGCCTGAGAGGTGGGACACTGTGCTGCCAAGCAGAAGGGAGGGCTCTATTGAACATCTGTGAGGACTTCAGAAAAGGGCCCTGGGTTTGCATCCTGACTTTGCTACCTATTAGCTATGTGCCCTTGAGTAAATTACACCTCCATGAGCTTCAGTTTCCAATTTGTGAAGTATTATTAGCGTATCATTACTACGTGATTGTGCACACAGTAAGCAGGTCAGGGAATACACTTGGCACAAGTGACGCAGTGCTTTTGTTTAAAAGTCAGAATCATGAGAGATTTAAGGAAGCAGTTGGAGGGTGGCATAGCTACCCAGCATGTCAGGACTCACCTTTCTGGGTTAATCCATGAAGTGACTCCAAGGGACATCTTGATGAGGACCCTCATTAGCCAAGAAGGTGTCAAACTCTACTTCCAGAGGAAGGGCAACTCAAGTCCATTTTCCTCAAGGAAGGGTCTTAGCCACAGAGGCTCACGTAAGCTTAGAGCCATTTATCTCACCCTTGAAAGAAGTGGTGAATGACAGGAGGGATTCTTTCAGAACCACCTGACACGGTCGTGAACCACACAGTGACTGGGCAGTTGTGCTATCTTCTTCCCCTGGAGACCTCTCAACACAAGAAGGCAGAGCTGTGTGCCTAGACTGGGTGGGCACACTCCTACCTGGAACAGAGACAAGGCTAGAGTAACTGCAGAAGGGCCTTCATGGGGCCCATCTCCCTTTTACTTCAAGCCAGGGCAGAAGTTCAGCTGCTGGTCTCAGGAAAGAGCCTATTTTATTTAGCTGAGCATCCCAAAACACATCCCATTTTAAGGAGAAATCAAGACATTGTTTGCTGGCACAGTGAGGGGCAGAGGAGGGATGAGAGTAAGTCTCTAAAAAAGAAAGGCACAGCACCCAGATTCCAATTCTTTACTTTAATGCCATGTGAGGGTACTGGGGCTCCATGCACCAAAGTGCTTACAGACAGGTAGTGAACGAACATAGGAAGTGTTATGCCATGTACACAGACCCAACACCATACAGAAGGAAGACAGTGGGCCCAGGTGACCTCCCATACTCCAGAGGCAACCTGTTCCTATACCCAGTCTTTGTTCCCGCCTCGTCAACCCCTGCCAACCCACCCTTCTCCCAATTAACATATGTATACATATATGTTTCTTCCAGAATTCCAAAAAGTGCCTCTTCCATTCCAGTTCCCCACACTCCGGCTTCTGATGAATAAAGCCTCCCTCTTTTAAGGATCACAAGGCAGGTACTACCTTCATGAAAGAGCCCCAGCAAAAAGGTACCTAAGAAAGCTTAATCACTTAGAATCAAATATGGACAGAAGGTATGCAGAAGGATATTTAAAATTCTAACTGGGATCAAACTGCTCAGTGTAAGTAGTTTTTGTTTTGTTGTTGTTGTCATTTGTCTGAACCTCTTCAGGATCCAGCTTAGACCAAGATTGCACACTGAGGCTCACCCCACCTTGTGGCTTGCAAATGTCATTCTTCTAGTCCTCCAACAAGCAACACAGAACAGGAAGATTATGTCACCTGAACAGCCTGAGGCACAAGGCTCAGACAGCAACCAGAATATCCTAAGCCCCAGGAAGAAAGAATAGAAGCTTTCAGAGCACAGTCGACTGCTTTCCACATGATAAGCACTGGACAGTCCCGTGAGTTAACCAAAGGTAGAATAAGGATGGTGACGGTTCCTCTATTTCTTCCATTTAGAGCGTTACCCAAAGAACTCCTCCATCTGGGATGCTGTGATGTGTTTCATTGTGGTTTTGTTTCAATCTTTTTTGTTGCCATTAAGTTTTTCATTTTTGTTGAATTTTGTCATGGCTGCTATTGCACCATACAATCCTATCTCCTAAACTTTTCCCCTTCCCAACCAGTGAGCATGACACCTGGGAGAAAAGGCGCCCAAAGTCAAACATAATGGAAGCTCCGAAGGCAGGCACTTGGTTTGACCCATCAATGTTATGCACAAGAATTCTATGAAAATATACTCTCTTTCGACTGGGTAGAAGCATTCATCCTTTGGAGCCCTCCTTCCTAACCCAGCCCTTCTTATGCTCTAGACCTGACCATTTAGAGTTGAGAAGGGATCCAACTGGGAGAAGTCACTTCCTCAGATATGACCTTTATTTGGAGGCCATCACCTCAAACCACCACATCCAAAAGCACTCTTCATCTTGGCCTTGGCTTCTCATCAGAGAATGGCCAGATTGGGCCACTGAATTCTTTTACTTCATTTGGAAAGAGCTCTAAGCTGGCTGCCAGTATCTCTGCTCTGCCTGGTCTACTGGCCCAGAGCCTTGTCTCTCCCACAATGGCATGAAGTACACCACTGTGAGGACAACACAGGGCCAGAGGGATCCAAAGGAGTGTCTCTAGCAAGGGGCCTGGGGACAGTGTCCTTATCCAGCATCCCTGGAGCCCTAAGCTAGTCTTCAGGGCCTATTTTTGAGCAAACTTGCGTTTGAGCCTACCAATCACTCTATCTTACATGTATAGACTCTAAATAACCGAGGTACTGTGATGCTCTGTGCCAGGGGTGGGAACGAGAAGGAGCCTAGGCCAGATAACTGAAAGCACTGGGATTAACTGTCTCCTTTCTACTCACACTGCCTTTCTCCTGAACAGCTTGCCTCAGTGTCTGTCCAAAAATGAATTTGTATTAGGCAGTAACACCTATTGGAGCAACTTAAACGAAAGACTTCTGTTAGAACAAGACAAGAGCCATGTTGTTGGAGTAAGCTTCAAGCAGGGACATCAACTCCAGAATAGCGATGATTCATTTGTGGATGAGGACAATAGAGAGAACACGTATCTCTGAACCTGAACAACTGACTGTACCTTCCTCTTAGATCTCAGTCTGCACCTCTGTTCCACCATACAACGTGAGTGCAAAGCCACGCCCCGGAATCCCTGTTCCACAGAGGGCCAGGAGGTCGCTACCCCATGAAGGAGTTTGGCAAGGTCCCAGGACTTGGCCTTCTCTTCCTCAGAAGGATGCAGACATCTTCCATTCCCCCTCGCCCTACCTCGCCAATCTGGTCTTGTAGGACTGAGACCAATGAGGCTGTCCTCACCAGTGTTTTACATATGAAAAAAAATCTCCCTACCAAACACAAAGGACAGTCAAGCAGAGTCGTGATTACAGGGAGAAGCCCTTAATGCAGCACAGAAATGTTATGTTCCAATTGCTGGTGCTGCATAGCTCTTCCTTTAGGAGATGCATGTCCATAGCCTGCTTAACTGCCCTAGTCTGCAGATGGAGCAAGAAGAAAATGCAGTGGGAGCAGAACCTTGTGGATCCTTTTCTCTCTCTGAGATGTGGGGAGCAGAACGTGACGGAGGTTTGCTGCTATCGTCCTACAGCTCCTGGTATAGCTGTGCCTCCCACCCAACCCTTTCTCTGCTTCCTCAGAACAGACACTCTCCTAGGAGAACGTGAGCAGGATAAAGCAGCAGGGTTTAAAAAAGAGGGGGGTTCCTATCTACAGAGGTTCACCACAAATTGGATGCTAACCATGAAATGGCAGCCAAAGAGATTCTGAGCCTCCAGAAAGGATGTTACCTCCCATAGATAACAGAAGATCTATGCAACTTGCCTGCTTGACTCAGGGAATCTTCAAAAGGAACCTCTGAAATCTGCATTACAGCCCTGAGAAGATAACCCTTCAAGCAAGGAAGGTTGGTGGAAGGTAGGAGAAGCCAAGGCCCTAAGGCAGGGCTGTAAACATTGTGCTTTTCTAAGGCCAACCTGGTGCATGGCTTTGGCAACTATGGTTGCATCTCCAAAAGGTGGTGAAGAATATGTTTCAGGAGGAAGAGTCTTTCCACATCCTAAGACAAAGCGTGGAACTATCCCTGGGGGAAGAGGGAGAGAAGATGCTGCTTCTTCAGTCAGGGGCTGTGGGGTAGGTCCTTGGGTAAATCCCCCATCATATTCTGTGTTCATACCTATATGCTAGGCACAAGAAAGGGACACTCGAACAGGGCTGAGGAAGTGATTACGCCTATATTAGTTTGGTAACATGGCACTAAAAAGGGCAGAAACTCTCTTGCAAGATCAAGAGAGTGACAAAACCTCTCTGGACTTCCTGGTCAAGCCCTAGCTAGCCAGACCCCATCAGCCTCAGGCAAAGACTGCTGTGCCTTGAGGAAAGGTCAGATGAGTGCAGGTACCAAGTGCCCGTTGGCCACAAGCCCTGAGTCTGATCCCGAGGTATAGCCGGGAGACTGGAGCTGCCAGGAGACCTCCATCCCCTTGGAGCTGTGCCTCAGGACTTGGTCCTCACCTCAGCAGGTCTGGGGCAGTTAGTATCCCTTCCAGGGATCTTACCCCAGAGCCACTAAAGAGAATGGACGCCCTCCCTGACGGGACTGTTCCCTACCAGGGCTACTCACCACCATGTGATCTTGAACTCATAGATGGGGCGCTTGCAGTAGTAGTGGTTGATGAGGTGCTTGTCACATACCCCGATGCACTGGTGGTCCACGACGAGGCCCTGGGCTGAGAGGTCCGTGACCAGGCAGTGCAGTAGGTCATAAACGTCAGCCACAGCCTCCCAGGGCCCAAAAGACACATCCACTTCGCAATGGTGCTCAAAGAGCTGCCCATCGCTCTCGCTCCGCTCGAAGCGCAGGGAGTTGAGAAGAGGACACTCGTAGGGGGTGATGGGCATCTCCTCCTTGAAGACACAGACCTTGAGCTTGGCAAAGCGGGCCTTCCGCTGTACCGCACGCAGCCGGGCAATCTCCACAATCCGCTCCAAATGGTCTGTGGGGTGAACACAGCACCCATCACTGGGACAGGGGTCAGGAGGTTGGGGTGGGGGGTGGGCAAGGCAGTGTCAGGGCACAAAGAGAGAGCCCCAATGAAGGCAGGATCCAACAGGGGAGAGAGATCCTGCAGAAGGGACTCTGTGGGCTTATGAAGGGCACAAACTTAAACAGGATCATGGATCGCCATGGCAAAAGGAAACCAAAAAGAAGGAATGAGGACAATCCTTTTGAAAGGTGATTTGATGATGTCACAGGCAAGGTGGGTCTTATTTAACCTGAATCTTCCCAGTGTGACTGGGAGGGGAGGACAGAAAGGGAAGCAGGAATCTCTCCAATCTTGAGTAACGTAGATGGGATCTCGGACCCACTTCTTCTGGTGAAGACCTAGGCCCAGATAGATGCCTTGCAACCCTCCTTTCCCACACCTCGACCACACTGGGCAGTTGACCCCTCACCTTTGTAATAGGGCATGAGTCCCAGAAATGCCTGGCGCACTTTCTCCCCCTTCAGAGGCTGCATGTTCTCTAGCTGCTCCAGGAGGGGCCCGATAGCATAGTACTGGGCCTCTTTATACACAGCCCGTACACGCTCCCGGGGCGGCAGGTCCCCTGAGCGCAGGAAATTCAGCACATCTCTGAGCAGGAAGGAAAGAGAGTTGGTGAGAAGGAGCTAATGGACCTGGGCAGTGACACACAGTAGTTAGAGCACAGAATCTGGGACCAGACTACCAGCTGTGTAACCTTGGGTAAGTGAACCTAACCTCTCTGTGCCCTGATTTTCTCATCTGTAAAAGGGGGGAAATTAAAAAAAAAAACAACTACCCCATAATGGAATGAAGGGATTAAGTGAGTTAATAGATAAAAAGTGCTTGGAAAATACCTGGCACTGGGTAAGTCCTCAATATGCATTAGGAGCTGTTATTATCAGTATCATTACTATTATAACTATTATTAGGCGTAATATTTTTTATTTTTACTAGGTGTTGTTATTATTGGGTATACATAGGAATAATGGAAAGATGTGATTTCTAGACTCCTTAATCTATATATTTAAATTGAGATATAATTAATGTGCAGTCAAGGTACAAATCGTATAGTTTGGTTACAACCACCACCTACACCAAGATACAGAACATTTCCATCTCCTTAAAGTTTCCCTCTGCCTCTTCCAATTCAACCCCAGAATTCTTCTATCAATGAAGATTAGTTTTGCCTCATCTTGAAATTCATGTAAGTGGAAGCACACAGTACGTTCTCTTCCATGGCTTCTCTCCTTCAACAGAATGTTTCTGAGATTCATCCCCTATGTTGTGTGTAACAAACTAAGTGGCCCCGCATTGAATGGATATGCTGTAATTTATTTACCCATTCTCTTATTGATGGACAGTTGCGTTGTTTCCAGTTTGGGGCTCTTACGAGTAAAGCTGTGATGAACATTCCTGTAAAGACTTTCTGGGGACACATGTACCAACTTCTCTTGGGTATATATTAGGAGTAGAATTGTTCACTCATAAGGTGAAGTGCATGCTTAACAAAATGGTTGTAGCATTTTACATTTCCACCAGCAATGTAGAATGGTTCCCCATCTTCTATATAACCTTGCCATTAGTCTTATTTGGTAGCTATAAAGACATCAAATGCTTACCCCTAACACTTGAACAAACTGGTTCCTGGAGTGAATAAAATCATATACTGCATTTTCTTAAGATAAATATTCAGTTCTTTTAATTCTATCTTCAAATTCTTTAGTGCTAAGAATAATCAGATCCTTTACTGGTAGGTGTGGGAAGGTCTTTTCTGTAAAGATATGTGAGTAAACCCCAAGATCAAGATGTTGCCTCAACAGTAGTCTCTGACCGTGATGTAATACCAGCTAACACTCACTAAGTACTAACCTGTGTCAGTCACTATTCATGTGTTATCCCATTTAGTCACTTCAATGACATTGTGGGTAAGTGCCATTTTAGGTCCATTTTATAAATGAGGAAAAAGAGGGGCTCAGAGAGGTCAAGGAATACCCTTACTCAAGGAGTCACAGCTAGCAGGAGCCCAGATGCAGACACGGTTGACTCCAAGGCCATACCCACAGTGGTCCAGACCCTAGTCCAAAGTGCTACTCACTGATCACAATGGGAAACCGCCCCAGGCGGCGGCCCAAGCAGCCTTCATGCGGGGGTGCTGGGAGCACATGAACTGCACCAGCAGAGAAATGTACCTGACCAAATGCCTTAAACCCCTATTTTATTTTATCTGAGTCTTTTGGCAACTTCATCTGCTGCTCATGAATCATAGGCCACTGTAGTCCGGCAGCCCGAGGATAAAGGCTACAACAACCTGCTTTCTGCCACACCCTTGCCTGGCTCTGACCCTCTCCAGCTGTGGCCACCTGGGCATGGGCACATCAGCCTACAGCCAAACCCTGTTCCCCCTCACCACAACTCCTTTCCAAATTAGCCCTCCAGGATCTTACGCAAACCTTGGTCCGCTCTGAAAAACATAACCCCGGGGCAAGGCCCAGCTAAGAGTGTTGTGGGAGCTGCCAGCCGGGGCCAGCACTTTCCTCCCCCAAACAGCCTGCAAACAAAAATCTTTTTATAGCTCTGCAGAGCGATGTGACACTTTGTTTTCTCAGCACTGGAGGCAGCTGACAGCCCAATGGGGACACCCAGATGGTTCACAGTAAATTGTTTGACCAGAGGCTCCTTTCTGAACATAAAAATGTCCTTTCTCCCAGTGCAGGCAATCCTACTTGGAGGCCAGCACAGAGACGTGGTGGTTGGAGAGTTTTTGCCTCCCTAGTCAATCTGTTGAAGGTGGAGAACCATGTTAGTTCTCTAGTCATCTCCAAAGTTAGACTGAAGGGGCAAAGAGCTTTAGCCACATGCTCTGGAAGGACCTGGCCAGGGGTCACACCGAGGCTCCTCATGTAATTGGCATGGCAGGCCTGTGAGGCAGCTATCATTATTTCTCATTTCACAAATAAGGAAACTAAAACATAAAGTCTTTAAGCTGTTCATGTGTAAGGTGTCAGAAGTCCTTTCTTGGGAAGGGCTATTTTCTTTTTTGAGATTGTGTCTTTCCATGTTTTAGTATTAAAATGACAGTCACAATTGAAGGTGTTTTGTTTTTTTTTTAAAGACTTTTCTTGGCAAAATTAAAGGATGGCAATCACATATTGGCCGTTCCCTCACCTTTTTTGTTCGTTTGTTTTAAACTCTTGAAGGAAGTCTGAGAACCACGGTCCCACACTGTGTCCCTCCCTAAGGGCAATGTGGAGCCCCAGAATCTGAATCTGAGGATTTTCCCCAAGAAGTTGCTTTAGAATCTCCCACCTCCAGGGGGGATCACACCTGCTCCACACAGATGACAACTTCCTGGTCTTTTTTTTTTTTTTTTTTTTTAAGATTTTATTTATTTATTTGAGAGAGAGAATGAGAGACAGAGAGCACGAGAGGGAAGAGGGCAGAGGGAGAAGCAGGCTCCTCGCCGAGCAGGGAGGGAGCCCGATGCGGGACTCGATCCCGGGACTCCAGGATCATGACCTGAGCCGAAGGCAGTCGCTTAACCAACTGAGCCACCCAGGCGCCCACAACTTCCTGGTCTTAAATTTCACAGGACAGAAGCAGTTTCACCACATCCAGCCAGTGTGTGTCACCTGGGATTTCTCTGGCTGTCCTCGTCTCCTCTGGGAAAAAACTATGACTTTTGATCTCATTCAATAAACACATTTATTGAATTCCATCAGTACATTTGTTATCTCCTCTTCTAGGTATTATAGAAGACACCAAAGCCCCATACCGAAACCCAGGACACTCACTAGGACTATAAAGTTGACCATAGAGGGAGAAACATACCCAAAGTGGGTGCCATCCCGGTCAATGAAGTACCGGCCCTCGGCGTCTGTGGGGATGTAATGCCGCCCGCTGAACATGGCCGCCAGCATGGTGTCTTCATAGCGCCGCAGGGTAGACAGGCGTGTGGTGAAGTGAGCCCCTCCAATGTTGAGGGGGACAACCTCAGGAAACTGGAAAGGAACCACCGGCACTTTCAGCCAGGCATTGGGGAATGAGAGCAGGGGCTGCTCTGCCTGCAGTCTCCTTGGGTCTCATCAGTGCTGCACCACTCACGCACCCAAGGCTAAAATCTGGGAATGCTCCTTCTGATGCTCTTCTCTCTCTCCTCCCTCTGCCCACACTCCTCAGTTGCCAAGTCCACCCCACTGTCCCCCTGATAGCCATTAAATCAGGCCTCCCCACCCCAGTTCTACTATCTCTGCTCTATTACCACTTTTATGCCCTTGCTTATGCTGTCTTCTCTGTCCAGAATGTTCTTTCCACTCTCCCTCTGTCCATCTAGCAAATGCAATTGCCCTACATGCTGTGTGCTCAAGGGCACCCATCTGCGAGAGGTCTGCTAGCCCAGCTGTGTGCCTTTCTCTAGTGCACACCGAGGCACCATGGAAGTTGGCAGCATCTACTCATTCGAAAAGCTTCTCTTCAAGTTTCCTGATTTTGTGAGCATTTCTGCTCTTTTGTCCCTCGCCTGCCCCAAGACAGACTTAACTAAGTATTCCCTCCATCGTGCCTTCACCATGTGCCATGCTCTCCTCTTTATACTGCCTAGCGTGATACACTGGCACTTAATTACTCCTGTGAGCCTACCCTTCGAGACCCCAAGCTTCCTGAGGGCAGGGACAGCATCTTATTCACTAATCACGAGGCCACCCACAGCGGGGATCGGAGATGTTTGTGGAATTATTCCAGGCATCCACTCCTCACTACCTCACCGCTTCTCTCCTACTTAATCTGTAGGGTGAGATCAGTCCCTAGTCCAGCTCAGGTTCTGGAGGCAAGGGCAGGGGGAGGAATAGGGAATGACAGTATAGATTGGCCCAGAGAAGCTCTAGGTTCTCCCTAAAATGCTCAGGAACTTTTTTTGGGGGGGCGGAATAGCCTTCACTGCTTGTGGTTTTAAAAGAAATGAAGCCAGTTCTCTCTAATTTTCCCACGAACCTCCAGATTAACTAAAATTTTATACTAGTGCACACTTTTTAATATGACATCTCTCAGGCTCCAGTGTATAATTATCTAGATAGTCCTTTCCCCCAGCTTTCCAGTTCTATTTTTTTTCCACTTTTTTTTTTTGAGGTATAGTTGACACATAATGTTATATTAGTTCTGGGTGTACGACACAGTGATTTGACAGGTCTATACCTTATTGTCTGCTCACCGCAAGTGTAGCTACCACCTGCCACCATATATCGCTATTACGATATCATTGACTATATTCCTTACGCTGTACCTTTTATCCCAGGGACTTATTCATTCCCTAACTGGGAGCCACTACCTCCCACTCCCCTTCGCCCATTTTGCCCATCCCTCCACGCTCCCTCCCCTCTGGTAACCACTGGTTTGTTCTCTGTATTTATGAGTCTATTTATGCTTTGTTTTTTGTTTGTTTTTTAGATTCCACATATAAGTAAAATAATGTGTTTTCAAATTCTTTGTGCAATAAAGTAGGATACAAATACATTAAATCAAAGTTACCCAGAGCCTAATGCAGTGCCTGGCTTGCCGTAAAGACCCAAATATGCACTGAATGAATGAGTGAATGAATGAATGAGTGAATGAAAAAAATACACAGTTCTTGTGTATGTATGCACTGTTACTCTTCTGCAACCAAAGGACAGCAAATGCCTTCTACTTACTCTACAGCTCCTCTAAAACTATTGTATGTGCATACCAAGGACTCAAATATCATTTTGGGATAATAATACTTTACATTTCTGGAGCTCTTTACACCTTTTCCAAGGACATCTCATATCAGTCCCAGTGTCTGCTCCATAGTAGAGCTGAAAAGACTGAGGCACAGAGGAAAAAGCAATCAAAAACAGTTTTAGATCTCACATGGAACAATGTACCTGTGGGGGAACTGGCCTACAGTTCTGCGCTCTTTCTCTCAAACCACATTGTTTTCCCAAGGACAGTGCACAAAAGATAAACACCAGTGTTCCTGATGGCTTTTTTTTTTCCCCCCCAACTGCAAAGAGTACTTCCAGGGTTTTGCTCATTATCACAAGTGTTTCATGACGTTGAGAGTTCAGGCTTCTAATGCCAAGAGGACCAGCCACCCCCAGTCCAGCCCTGCCCCTCCGGAGCTGTCCATTTTCCTAGCACTCCACACATCACAACAGGCTCCCTTATCCAGCACTACCTTAGCTCCTACCTCCTAGTCTCCTTCTTCAGTGCCCAGCAGTGCCCCACCTTCCTCCTCTTTTCTCTTTCTCTTGAGGGTCATTTCGGCTCTAAAAATGATACTGTCATACACAGTAAGACCAGTAGGAGCACCCCAGCACAGTAGCTAGCGGAGGAAAGCCATGGAGCTGTCGGGTGAATGTGGACACATCTATTCATTGGCCTGCTTCTTATCTGCACACAGTCCCTTACCCCACCTTCTGGGCAGCTGGAGATTAGGTCTGGGCCACCACGAAGGCCTCCTCTTTAGTTTCCTAGAAGGCACTCTCCTCTTGGGACTCCGAGGTCCCCTTCCCACAGCCTACCCTCCCTCCTCTAGTCGGTAAGGATGGGACAGAGGGGTGGGCCTAAACCAGCCTTGCAGTCAGTGAATACTGGAAGCGGGGATTGGGGGAAGGCGGGGGGAGGGGGGGTGCTGGGGGGGGGTGGGCAGGTGTGCCCCGGGGCAGGGAAGACACACCTGGTGCGTTTTACTGGGGGTGGGTGGGCCCGGGAGCACAGCTCCTCTGGCGCCGCCCTCGGCCCCACCTCTGACCCCAGCCTCAGCGCGGCTCGCACCCCAAGGTCAGCTCTGCTGGGCACCTGCTTCTCCCTCTGCGCCCCTTCCCACGCCCCACCCCCCAGGTACCTCCTGGGGCAGCAGGGGCAGCGCGTGCCCCGCCTGCGTGGCCGTCGGGGTGGCCGGCTCCAGAAAGTCGTCTTCAGCGTCGGAGCTGGACATGGCACCGTCTGGACGACGGCTGTCTGGCTCCCGCCCCGTGACTACCACCATCCCTCTGGCTCTGGACAGTGGGCGCGGCTTCGGGCGGGCGGGCGGCGGCGGCCCGGGCACTAGCGCCGAGCAGCGCCTGACATGACGCGGCGCGGCCGACTGGCGGGCCCGGGGGGCCGAGAGCGCAGCGCGCGAAGGCGGGAGGGCGGCCACTCCCTCAGCGCCCACTGGCTCGCGGACCACCGCGCGGACCGCAGGGCCACCCGCCTGACCCGGCCGCCTCCCGCTATTGGCCGAGGCTCCTCTTGTTCCGCCTCTGATTGGCAGGAAGCTCGTCCAGTCCAAGAGCAGGCAGCGCGTTCGGCCTGCGCCTGAGTGGCCACTGGGAGCCGGGCGTGCTTGCCTGCCCTGCTCTGATTGGTCGTCAGGCAGGCGGTCGCGCCCTCTCCACCCGCTATGTCTCGCTCCGCGCGCAGGGCTGGCTCGCGAGGCCGCCGCCTCTACGCGGGCGCTCCTCGTTGGCTCGGAGGGTGGTTCCCGCATCGGGGTCGACGCCTCCGAACTCGAGAGGAGGCAGGGCTCACGACCTAGCCGTTTGTCTGTCTGCAGGGCAGTGGGTCCCGTGCCTCCTCGGGCGTCGAAGGCCAGGGAAAGCCGGGGGGGCGGGGAACCAGGTCACCTCAGTAGAGATGCGGGAGGAGGGCTGAGGATGTGGAGGATGTGGCGGGAGGACGGCTGAGGTCTCTGAGGTTGTAAGAGAGGAGGGGCAGCACTGCGACAGGGGCCAACCCTCCTCAAGCCACAAGGGCAAGCAGGAATCTGAAAAAAGAAAACGCAAAATTGGAGTAACCGAGTTCAATTAGGAATGGCAGTGACTCTCCATCCTCTACCTTCCAGTTCCTCCGCAGACGGAGACAGGCCCTCCCCAAAGCAGCTGACATCCTGTCTGCAGCCTCAGCCGCTGTGGCCCCTCGTAGGGGCTGGGCCAGCTCAAGGACTCTGCTAGGGATCAAGGCTTGAGCTCTTTCAAACCATTTTTACACCCAGTTCCTCATCTGATCCCCATACTCTTGTGACAGAAAAGGGAAATTGAGATCTAGAAGATCGGGACAGCTTCAGAGAGGTGGGCCGTGAGCTAGAGACAGAGCACTTCCTCTGTTGGACCAATCACACTCCCAGCTGCAGAAGGCTTCTAGGTCAGTGTTTTCTCCCACTTTAGTTGCATCCAAATCACTGAGGGGGACCTTGTTAAAATACTGATTCCCAGTCCTACCTCCAGGGAATATGATTTGGTCTGTCTGGAGTGAAGCCCTTACCCTGGCATTCCTAACAAGCTGCTAGGTAATTCTGATGCTGCAGGTCCATGAACCACACTTTGAGTAGCACTGCCCCAAACAGGCCCCCTGGAGGCTTCCTCTTATTTATCACTAACTGCTCCCGCCTTTCTCAACAATATATATAACAAAATTTCCTCTTTCCATCCTATGGTAAGTAGGATGTTTCAGCTGTAACAAAAACTGCAACCAAAATTAGCTTAAATAATAAAAGAGAACTTTATTATTGTACATGGCAAGGAGTCTGAGCAGATCCTGGATTGGTTCACTAAGTAACTCAACTGAACAAGGAGTTACCTGGACCAGCTTCCTTCCATTTATCCACTTGGCCAGATGGCCTCTCCTCCCCTAGGAATCCACAGGAGAAAACACGGGACTAAGGGCTCTCAGGGAGACAGTTATTCCAACTCCTTAAAGAAAGGCTGTATAGGGCGCCTGGGTGGCTCAGTTGGTTATTAAGCGACTGCCTTCAGCTCAGGTCATGATCCTGGAGTCCCAGGATCGAGTCCCGCATCGGGCTCCCTGCTCAGCAG